CCTATATCTGACTCTTTTAGTTTTAGGACTTACAAACAACCGTTATGTGAACAAAACTATAATACTCTCTTTAGCAACTTTGTTGCGAGAGTATAAAAAAACCCTTACTGTACTTTAATTAAATATATTCTAGATTGATTGCCTTATTTGATTGATAGAATTTAAATAGTCCGTTTTAAGATTTGACACATTTCTATACGCTTTGGCATTATTTTGAAAACCTTTTCGATCGGTTAAGTAGCATCGAGTCTTTAGGGATAATGTTTTTAATGTATACAAAAATGCTTGTATTCATTTTTTGAAAAAGAATGGCGGCTATTGGCCAATCCGCAGAGCATCCATTTAAACGGAGACTCCACTGGTGGCAATCAATTTCGCAAGTGGAGCTACATGTACTTTAATAAAACCCTGATCTTAATCTACCTTTATAAGATGTCTTCGTAAAGCACGAGCTTTACATAAATTAAAAAAAGGAGGTATTGTTAAAAAAATAGATGTTTGCTCAAATGAAGGTCTTGCAGGCAGAGGAGAAAGAAGATATGAATTGTTGGAAAAATTTAGAGGTAAAGCTTTTCATAGAAATGTATGAGGAAACTTCAGCTGTCGGATATCAATCGCCATCAGCCATAGGTGCAGATGAACTGACAAAGCTTTAAGCGCCAATTGTTATTTCTATATCAAATACCAATATACCAACAGATGTGTTGGCATCTAAGCACTCATGTACTGAGATATGTACGAGTTCATACATATGTCATTGCGATTACGATCTGCGGTGAAAGTGTCAAATATTGCTGCGGAGAGCTGAGTTAACCTTCTCCTGCAAGTTCATTTAGCAACTCGGAGGCCAAAACAGACGCGCTAATAACATTCGCCACGAACAGAAGGGGCACTCACCGTTAGTGATGCGAGGCGAAGGTTTTTGACTATTTAAGGTGTTTTTGTACCCTACTTATAAACCCCTTCAAAGGTGCATTTATGTTAGTAACTACATATGTGGTCAGTTTGTATGGAAGCTATATGCTATAGTAATCCGATCTGAACAGTTTTTACATTGTTGTCTTGGAAAATAATCTATACCAAATTTGGTGAATATAACTTGTTAAAAATTTATAGGATCCCCGACGCTTCCTTCTGGGTGTTACAAACTTCGTGACAAACTTAATATACCCTGTTCAGGGTATAATTACTAATTATATGAAAAGCAGCAAAAAAAGTATAGTAAAATCTTTTCGTCCGTAGAACGTAACCAAATTCAGAGCTATTCATGAGCCCTGGAATATTTTAAAACTAAAGGTGTTTTGATATTATATAGTTACTTTTCTTTCTCCTGCGTATTCAAAACGAAGTAGGAAAATATAAAAAAAAGGAAGAAAATACGTTAACTTCGTTTTCACCGAAGCTATAATACCCTTCACAAATACAAAGGTACTATGCAAGAATTTGATTTTGACCAGTCGGGGCAAAACATTTGCAAGAAGAAAAGCCCTCAATTTCGTTCTCTTATGATGCCCTTTTTTCTTTGAATTACTTTCTGTTTCTGGATTCTAAATTTACAGCGTTGATGTTGTATGTATATTACGAAATGATTATTGGAAGATTTTTCCGGTGAAGGTTATATGGAATGACCGATAATCAAGTGGAAAATTGGACATTATGTAATCCGTAAGGCTGCCACATGCTTATTGGGAAATTGTATTTAAGTGGGTTTTTCAATAGGACAACGATACGAAGCATACGACAAAGGTCCTACAATCATAGTTCCAAAGAATAAAGTGGTTGTTATGGAGGGATCCCCACAATCCCTAGATCTTAACCCCATAGAAAATTTATGAAAAATTGTAAAAAATCGCAGATAAATTGGTTTAGTTTCTCTTAATCAACATCCAATATTAAAAATAAAATGAAAGTAGCTGGTAGCCAGCAATTGCGGTCTGTGTAATCGACATTATCATATTTCAGTTGCAAATGTTTTGCCCAATACTGTACATGCTATACTTTCCTGATTGTTGTCTTCAACAATAACCCATGTCAAATTTCCTGAAAATACAAATACCTCGTCTAATAAATAAATCCTATAGAAGGACAAGATTTTAATAATTCAGTTCATGTGGCAGCCATAAGCTCCGACAAATAAGCAATATTTTGAGGAGAAGCAGACGTGTTCAAAATTTCAGATCGATATTTGAAATAGTAAAGCACTGGTTCGCGTATATACGACACACAGCGGGACATTGCTAAATCTTCCCAGCGCGATGGCTAAGTGGCAAACTCAATAACAGGATATTCAGCATATTAAGGTATAATTATACTAATATTCCGTTATTGTGTATTTTACCAAATTATTCGTAATAATTGACAAAGGCTCTATTCTCGAACCTTTATTCTACACTTTACTTTCTTGTTTGTGTGAAAGGTCCCCACAACATGGATACGACACAAGATTGCGGCACGTAACTTCGTAAATGATGTAAAACTGTAAAAATTTTGTAATATCTTAAAAAAATCCGTTTCCACTTTTATTTCATATCATCACTACTAAATACTAATGTATTTTTCTGTCAAGCACACTCCGATAAATTAACAGTATGGAACTGTTATCAAATCGTAGTATTCAAATAACTAACACATATTATTACGCTTTGAACTCAACCCTGCCAGTCCAACCAATCAGCCATATACTTATATATTTTACAATTACAATCTCATACCATGAAATGCTATTTTCTAGAAGTTAATGTTCTATGAGAAGTCAATTTTCGGGCAGAAATATAATATAACGACAGCTAAAGTGCGAGATTTCTTTCAGGCGGCTCTAGAAACAGGATGCGACCAGAACAAAAACTTACTGGCCAACGGATACATATATACCAATAAAATACATGATGTACATGTACGATTTTTTTATTATTAAGAAAGTATTTTGAAATTTCATCGGAATTGATTGGGGTCCACAAATAGCAACAAACGAACAACGAGAGCTAGAAGTTAACCGATTTAAAATAGAATTAAAAATCCCATAAACAGGAATAGAAAGTTACGACGAAAATGGCAACAAATACGCTTACCACTTGACAAAGCCAACCTTATTAAGCTGTATTAAAAAGAGAGCTCACGCATGTTATGAAGGTGTCTACACACAAATCTTTATCTCAACTATCGTCATGTAACGTGCAATGAACAATTAACAGTAATACATGGGTAAACGCTGTGATAAGCAAATACATTCGGAATACTTATAGTTAAAACTTTTCGTTAAAATAAGAGCGGAATATACAAAAATAATAAACCTTACTTAATAAACCTTTATTATGAAAGTTACACTCTTTTAGAAAACTTCTTATACTAACAATATCAGCAAAAGATGGTGTATTTAACAATATTTGGTATTTATGGTGGTGTGCGTGGTAACAATTGGCGCAAAATGTGTTACCACAGTTTGAAGGAGAATGGAGAGGGAGGGAATAATGTTCACAAAGAGGGGAGCGTTGGCATTTATTCTTTACATGCTCAAGAATCTGGCAAGATTTATATCGCATTGGGCGAACTAATACTTTGCACCAGGCAATGTCATTTTTGCTGGGTTATGATTGAAAGTGAGTAACACAACTCCCGATGGTAATAGTTTCCCACCATTGTTTTGTAGCGCGCTCACCTTTTTTGTTCACACCCAACAAATTTTTAAGGAAAATAAGACGAATTTGTATGAGTATATTAATGTGAATACGTACCCAATAGATTTTTATTAAAAATATGCTTTAATTTACACTTTGGTAAAACGCAGAAAAAGGGAGAAATTCCAATCAATCATGACGTGAGATAATATTTATATATTTCGACCGCTCCTTCGGAGGATAATTCTTGGATGATTTTCTCTTCTGCAACATTGTTGAGAAAAGGAACTACACGGTGCCTTTCACTTGGTTGAGTGATTAGTGTAGCATGGCTGATGTGGGACACACGCCTACCAATTCTTCTCGTTTCTCTTTTAGGAATCTTTCAGCAATTCTGTTATTTTTCACAAGAACTGTGAACAGAAGTAATTAGGAAAATACTAGTAAGCGAAAAACAAAACGTCTTGTCGGTACGAGAGATGTTTGATGACTCTAAATGACAGTAGTGAAATTGCGTTCTTCAATAATGTTCAACACGATCAAGCAGTAATCCCAGTAATCTCCATTTGTGAACTTAAAAATGAAATCAAAAGACTTAAAGTTAAGAAATCGCCAGGATTCAATCTAATAACGGCAGAAGCATTAGAGCAGTTATTATACAAAGTAAATCTCCCCTACCTTTTGAATCTAATACTTTGTCTGAAACATTTTCCAAGTGTTGGAAAAAACCAGTTATTCTCATATAGACTAATTCACCACTTCTGCAAAGGTTAAAATTTATCATCAATGAAAAGCAGTTAATTCAAACGCCCCAGTTCGGTTTCAGAAACAAGTATTCAATAATACAGGGTTTGTATAGAAAGTAATAGGGCTGATTTTCTTTGCCACGACAGTACTTCGAAGCGTACGGCGCTCCTAGCTAACGAACGAGCGGCTAGTCAGATGTCTCCGAGCACCTGGAGAGTCAGCCTAAACCTTTTTCGAGCGACGTGTTTAGGACAAGCCGAAAATGCAGCGTTCGTTAGAGCAGAGGTACGCGATTAAATTCTGTGTTAAACTCGGCAAATCTGCGACAGAAACGTGATCAAGCAGGCCTACCCAGATGTTGCTTTAGCAAGAAATGGTGTGTTTTGGGGCGCCAGGCCTTTTTGGAGGGCCGGGAAGATCGCTGATGAAGACCGTGTTGTGATATTCGTTTAATTGCCCAGATGTTAAATGCATCAAAATCTGTGGTTCATGACAGAGTGACAGAGCACTTGAACATGGGCAAAGGTGTGCGCGAAAATGGTTCCAAAAGTGCTCACTGATGGCCAGAAATGGCGGCGAGTGGTAGTATGCCAAGAAAATTTGAACATGTGTGAAAGTGACCCAGAATTTTGAATAACGTAATCTCAGATAACGGATCATGGGCCTTTGAGTATGATCCCGAGACAAAGAGCCAATCCTCCGAGTGAAAGGTAATCAAATTGAGATGACAGGGGGGCTCCAAGCAGCATGCACCTCGGGTCTTAAGGATATTCCGGAGAGTGTCTTCAAGACGCCTTCAATGCTTGGAAATCGAGCTGGTAGCACTGCATCGACGAAGAAGGAGGCTATTTTGTTAGTTTTTAAAGAATTGTAAAGATTGATTCAATAACATTGGCCATACTAAGATGCAAAAATTTAACCTAACGTTCAACTGTCAAAAATGCATTGAATTGAACGACGAACAACATAATCAAACTGCTCGTTGATTTTATAAAACTGGTTGTAGTGCTAAAAATTCAATTCATATAATACCCTAAAATCAATGTCGCCCGTACTTAGTCCTTTTTAAACTTTTTTTTATTTTTTCCGGATTTCACAACTTCTTAGTCCTTATACATGTTTGTATATTTTTGTATATATTTGTCTGTTGTTATGTTAGAACTGCTTCTTGTAGAAGTGCAGAAAGAGGTCCATCGAACAGAACGTGGAGAAGAAGTGCGCTCAAGTATATCACCAGCAAACACCCCACAAAAATTGAAAACTGTAAATTTGTTGTGTTATTAAGTGTGATGAAGAAATTGAAGAATGAATTTTCCAACTCACCGTTTGTCCGACGGAATTGTAGATAGGCGTGTCAGCTGTAAACACCAACAGCCGAATTACAATCGGACCCACAAGTAGACAAACCGGTGACAGTCGTTCCAAAACATAGAAAATTTTCCCATCAAGCAGAATACTAAGAGGTCTCCAAGTCTGATAGTTTTCAGCTGTAAGAGTGGTCCAGAGCAGCATCAGTGACCACATCGCATGCGAAATAGTGAAGAGTGTTGCTTGGCACCAGCGTCCATATGCCACATGAGGCAGCAGTTTCTCGTAACCGTATTTATAGCCAAATACAAATAAGCCCGCCATTAGCAAATACGCAAGCCAACCTTTTGGATATCTTTTTGAGAGTGTGAAATTCCACAAAATTCATGCAAAATTACCACAAATCAGCACCACCAAATTCATTTTTAAGTTGGATTGCGTCCGTTGAAGAATGTATCCAACACATATACCCATTATATACGGAGATATGCGGAGGCATATGTTGTCGTAGACCAAATTGAATTCGGCTAGCTCCTTATGCATAAATGTTCTGTGGTAAAAACGGAAGAAAATGATTCATGGGGTTGTTAAAAACTTCTTTCAATTATGTTGTTATTGTGCATCATACCCTAACGAAAATTCCGCGTTGGTGATGGGATCCGATTCCCATACTACCGAAGCAAATATGGATATCATAAAGGTAGCTACGCCAATTATTGTAGCATACGCCGAGTGGATTTCAGCGAGGAGGAGAACCAATGAGGCCACAATAAAGAACAGCATTTCCAGCGAAAGAAACCAGGTCCAAGGCATGCACTGTGAGTAAGAGTTGTAAAGAATTAAGAATGAAATGATTAAATGATTTTTGTCATCTTCTTGTCAGGGAATCGTTATATCAGTGCTAATACTTAGAAGTGAAATGAAGTAAGGAAGAATTTCTTCTCACCCGTTGCTCCAGTGCATAGAAATTGTCCACATACAGCACGTTGCTTAATTTCCTATTGCATGTTTTGTAGTCTAGTGAAGGAATTTCTAGGGCAATGTTGTTGTAAAAATGTTTATCGAGTAGATGCTCAGCGAAGGTGCAAAACGCAAACGATGGAGTTACACTGGAATATACAAAATACGTTATTATTAAAATAGAGATTCTTTAAAATGCAAAGGTGGCCATAGAAAATCTTGTACGTTTAGCGTTCTATGATTTCTGCTTAACGAAGTTATCAACCAGACTCCACAGTGCATGGCGACATCTAGTGTCAAAATAATAACGTAGTATCAAAGCAGAGAACGTCTATCATAAATACGTTCTCTGTCTACGATAGACGTTCTCTGTTTATTTTATACGTTCTCTGATAAAATTTTATTTATTGTCCATGTCAAGCTATGGCGATGGGCGTGGCACCGCTTCCATTTAAGCAAAAACTCATATCCCAGGACCCACTCGACCGATTTCAACCCAATTCGATAAGTTATATAGTCCTGACATTGTGAAATTTCATCTGATTATTTCACATAAATCAAAAACCAGTGGATATCGGGGTCATAACCAAAAATTGTCAATGGCGGACGACAAATATTCAAGCCCCCACATGTGGACATCGGTCAATCTGTGATATGTATTATAGAAATTCGGAGAGAAACCTTTTGCAATAATGGTAAGCCTGTATGTTAAAAATGGGTTGATTCGGATCAATATTCCCTCAGTCCCAATATACCTAATATAAAGATTTTCGAACTTTCAGGTGACTTTACACCGCATTAATGGGCCAATTTGTGAGTTATCATAATGATAATGATAGAGCGTGTTTTAAAATAACGGTTTCATCTTTTAGCATAATATCGGGTGAAAATTTGCCGAAACCACACATAACAAGTAACGGGATTTTCAAAGATCTAGTTGACTGTACTTACTAGGTATTCGTGTTGGTATGTGAGATACCCTTAATGAAATTTAAATAATATATAGTGTATATGGCCAAAAATAGATAAAATCGGGTCAATATTATCTCCCAACATATGTATAAGATCTTCAGCCTCCGCCAAGTTAAGGGGGGAGATACCTTTAGAATTAAAAAAAAAGAATTAAAAAACTTTTGTCGCTCTAGTCAATTGAAAAACTATTCAAAAATAAAGTCCCGAAGAAATATATCCTAGAACCATTGCACTTCATGCTGCGGCTATACAACCGGAGAACTTTGAGGCTCGTTTCCTCGAAACTAACTTTTTCATCCGTCCGTCAAAATTGCGAGCGCTTTATCTGACCCATTTACTTGAACTAAAGCGTATTTTATAGACAATTTTATACTCAAGTGCGTGATAGAGCACTTTTCCGAGAAAAATGGCATTTTGCTAGTTGTTTAAGTATTTCGATCTCGAAAAACGCAAAAAATGGCACTTTTTACAAAATCTTGGCCTACATCCCCGATTTTTCGAAATTTTCAAAACCCCTCTACTATGCACTTGAAAAAATACTTTTTTCATTCGGATAGGAAGCCTAGCCAGGAAGTTGACGGCCGGTCAATCAACGGTATCTTTGATATTTCCGTCATTTTGTTTTTTTTTACATAAAATAATTTTTATTTTGTAGTTCAATAATAACTCTTAATATATATGCAAAAAAAGCGGATCTGATCTGTTTTTATCCTTTCATAATAAAAGTGAAAAAATTGCCGTTTTTGGAGGTACTAGAGGTATCCCACCCTTAACTGAAAGTACATAACCTAATATTTAATATACTATAGCATAGGTAATGCCGAAACTATGTGAAATTGGTCTATGAATTATCTGTTATTCTAAGAAATCTTTAGTTATGCTATGAGTTATTTATATAAAATTACTAAAATTTTGATCCTCTGGTTAAAGTTTTCCGCCTTAAGATATTTCCCTCGCTTTGGGCCTGGTTAATTGCAAGAGTATGGAATGTTCGGTTATATCGGAACTTTGCCCTTCCTTACTTGTTTATTTATAAGTCGGGTGTGACCCTAACCCCTCTTTATAAATATACAAATATATGTATCTTTTGTTGTTATATGAAAAATTTTAAATACTTACGAAAGAGCTTTCTGCAAAGTTAGCTTTAAAACAAAAAACATTTGCTGCGAGACCTGATACTTTTCTCTGGGGAACTTTTGTAAAAACTCAGCCGCCAATTTGGAACCACTATTGAATAAAAGAGAGACTTTTAATATTTTAAGACGGTTTTAACAAGTGAAATGAACTGGGAATTTAATTATACAATTCGAAATCAATCATTCGAAATTAAAAATTCCACAGGGGTCTTTGCACTTCACATTCTCAAATGACTTAACTTTACAAAGAAATAGATGTCAATCAGAAAGCTGGCGTACTGCAGCGCGGGAACTGTTGGCGATTCCATTCCATTCTTCTGTTCCATGTTGCTCGAAAGAACTTTGATTTGTGTGTCCAGGTATTCGTAAATAATGAGTAAAGTAAAGACCACATAGAGAAGTGTTTGCGGTGTTATCTCACCAACGAAAGCGTTATAGAAAACATTATGGGGCGAAATGGCATTCAGTATGTCATCCAATTTGTACGAGCGTCGCTTCGTCGAGATTTGCGGCATGTTGACTGCGGAAGAATTTTGCAATGAAGTATAACAGTTTAAACAAAAAATTTAAGACATGTCAACCAAGAAGACTTAGGCAAAAATACGTAGATAAATTATAAATGTTATTGACAATTAAATCAAGTTACAACAACACTAAATACTGAAGTACTGATAAGCTTTGAACAATGTTTGCTAATGCACATATTTACAGTTGAAATTGCGCGGTAAGTTCAAGAGTGATAGAGATGCCATGCCATGCCATGCCATGTCTCAAATGAAGGAGCCTTTTATTCCATGTCGCCACGAATCGACTTCAATCATATGGCAGTGTTCCAAAAAGGAATGCGACGAAAGTATTTCTCTTCAATTATTTTACTAAATTGACCAGGGGCTCCAAGCACGGAGGCAAATAGTATACAATTTGTGCATGAACTTACCTCCGAATTTTATGTCCACAGTTCCGGTGTTGGTTGTAGTTTTACGAGCAAATCGTTTCATATTTCTTAAAAGAGAGTTTTTGTAATCTACCACAAACCCGAAATTATTTCCAAAGGGATCAGTGTTAGAGTCGGAGTTACTGATGATTGAGTGATAGCTGCGCATAACAAAGAACAAGGCATAAACGAAAAACGAACTGCAGACGAATGTTCTGAAATTATGGAATAAATATGCTGTATAAATGCATAAACATACGGTCGAGGGCTAGGGCTAGGGAGATAATTACATACATATTATATATCTGGGCAGGACCAAATAGTTGATACGCTTACAAATTGTAGAAATATATAGGGTTGAGAAGGACTGAATCCTATTCCATAATGTTATAAATAAGTTATACTCTTCTATAATAAATATGAAACATCATACCAAGTTTGTTTGTTCTAATTAAATTAGTTATTGAATGATCCCAGTTTACATTGTGTTATGGACAGGGCCGGCCCAAGACAATTTATTTCCCTAGGCAAATCTATAATTCTTCGTCCATTCTAAGCCTCTTTGACTTAACAAGAAAATTTATAAAATTTAAAATACTTACTTCAAAAGATTATAATTAACAAGTTATAAATTCTATCACTCCAGATAAGGATGATATTCTACTCCGATTTTCGCCATTCCCGAGAGCACTAATAGTAATAGTTTACATGTTTAAATTTACAAAAAAGCTTAAACAAAAACTGAATTTTCTTAGGCAGGAATCTTGTACCGGTAGATAACCATATTTCGGGCCGTGACGAAGTCGTTTAGCCTTAACCCATTTGGGTATGTTTCATCGTGGAGTCTCAATTTACCGACCGTAGTGCCAAAGATAGTAGTTGCGTACTTTTAAAGATTTAAGCATACAAAGAGACATAGGACAAAACGACTTTTTTTTATACTATGTATTGCTATGGGAGTTGAGGTAACATCGACCCGATTTCATCTATTAACTATTGTCATGACACATACTAAAAAATGTTAACTGGATTTTAGTGAGGCACCTCATATACAATCGCCAATCATATGATGTAAAGTCAAGATGTTCGATCTATTTTAGGCACAAAAATACCCTGTTATGATGGTATAAAGTCACCTGGATGTTCGAAAATCTTTATGTTAGGTATATAGAGGATCAGGGAAGGATTGATCCGGTTCAACCGATTCAATCATTATTTCTAAAGTTTAATTATACATATATCACACACATAAGCGATATTTTTATACTCACATCAAAATATAAGAATCCGTGTCGTTTCGAATGCTGTAGACATCGCTGAGGACCCGATGCCTCAAATAAGTACTATTCCTTACAACATGATTGCTTTGAAAGAGGTAGACATCTAGGATCTGCTGCAAGTCCTCGGCAACACATGACGATGGAAAGCAAATGAGCTGTTCCACTTTTTCAAACTAGGTTGTAAAATGAGAATGAAAAACTTTCTGACGAAAACAATTTCCATATATTATTAAAATTTTTCACCTTGAAACCACCTTCATAAACAATCTCCAGTAAGTAGTGACCCACAATGACTTGTACGGCGAAGGGTACGATTGTTTCATTGGCAAGAAAACTCCACGTCGTGTGTTGCACCTGGTCCTTGTACTGATGCAGCAAGGATCGACATATGTTCGGATTGTGGATCCGCACATTTGCTGCACCGCCCAATGCCCCACCCCCATAGTAAGACGTCGCATCATACACTTCAATGAGCATTTGCACAAAAGGAATTATATTTATTGAGATTAATCGATAGAAATCTCGGTGTTACCGGTAACTCACACTTCACAGCCCAAAGAGAGCCACGTCGGAGTCCCTCCAAAAAGTTATACATGTCTCGTATGCAGTTCTCACTTATGTTCCAGCCTTTATCATTGAATTCGAAAAACCGCAATGTTGCATATGGACTGAAGCCTTCAAATATGTAATTGACACTGGTGACAACGGTGGCGCTCACATGACCCGATTCACACATTAATAACAGAAGGCAAGAGCAAACTCCAACTGACGCTGACCACTTCATTTTGCACTTCTGAGAAAATTCTGAATAAATTATAAAAATTTAACTTTGATGACCAATAAGTTTTGAAATTAACGGTGGATACACACTCTAAGCCTATAATTTCGCAACTGAAAGCAAAGCCACGTTCGATTTCTTCATACTCGCTGCCGTACCACTTCTGTGACTGAGCGACTTCAATACAATGATTATGTGCATTGAAATTTTCATGTGTGTTCGGCAATACGCACGCCGCTGCAAATATGGAGTACATTAACACTGCTCTGAACTCTGGGTGAAAAGGAAAGTTAAAGATGAAGATGTTACTTTTACTGCTTTTAGTTTCATTCATCAATAAGCGACACTCCATATATTTCAAAGGGGTTCACTCGCAAGGCACTAAAGCACATTGCGTTACTAAGTCTAAGGATCCAACTGTCGTGGGAAATAATTTTATAAGGTATCCGAGCTTTTCTTCTGCGTGTTACAAACTTTGAGGAAAACTTAACTGCCGGTTCAGGGCATTATTAGATTAAGATAGAAAAATAGTAATAAGATAAGTCATACCGACAACATTTAAACCACAGGGGTAAATATTAAAAAATTAGGTCTACTATGCTCAGCCGAAGGATCGATCTATTTTGTTTTAAGCGTTTCTTTCTCCTAAGATTTCTTGGTATGCTGTAAGTATAAATGAACATCTACACATATATTCCATCCATATTCCGCGTATTGAAGTAATGTCAGTTATAGTTCTAATATACAGTGTTGGAAAAAGTAATAGAAACACGTTAGTTACATTTGTAGGAAAGTATATTTTAAAATTTTTTAATGACAATCATTTATATGAAAATTGAAGTCTTTCGCTTGAAATAAGTAATAATAACATAATGCTTAAGACTTATGTTGGTGTACCCTTATTTGAGATACAGTGAAACTTCGATAAGTCGTAACCTCGATAAGCGAAAAACCTTGATATTTCATTAGTATTTCTTCGGTCCCTTGGAAAATTCGTGAAAAATGGATGTATTTCGGTCCCTTTGATAACTCGTATTTTTCTTGAGACAAAAATTGAAAAATGTGCATCAAAAGCCTCTACAACTCGTATTTTTTTTCACAAAAAACCATACGTGACGAAAACATAGTACGTTTTTTAAAGAAGTTGTTGCTAAACTGCTTGAAAGCATCGAGGAAAAAAAGGATTATTCCATTTCGATTTATGATGCAATGAATATTGCTCATAAAGCCTGGACAAATTTCAGTAAATCGACTATTAAAAACTGTTTTCGAGCTTGCGGTTTTGTTAAGGATCAAAATGTAGTCGTAATCAGCGAAGATGTACTTCGCATAGCAGAGTGGGCTCGTGTTCCACAAAATGCAGAAACACGTGYAAACTTTGATGACTACATTCATGTTGATGATGAGTTGGTGATTACTGGAAGCCTCAATGATGATGAAATTCTGGGGTTCGAAAACATCGACGACGAAAACGATGGAACATTTGAAATTCCCTCAGTTTCCACAAAGGTTGCGAAAACTTCAATTGAAAATTTGCGTCTTTTTTCATGGCATCAAATATTGAAGACACTATTTTTAATGACATTGTAAACATTGATAATGCCATAGATAAAATACGCCAAAATAATGTCCGTCAAAAACATATTACGGATTTCTTTTAAAATGAACACTTTTCTTAATTTTTGTGTACAATTTTTCAAAATACATACATACATATATTGATTGAACAACATATGTACTTTATATTTTAAATTTAAATAATCGCACATAAAGCTGTATCTGATAAAAAAAAAGTTTGCAAAAACTATGCCTAGAGATGCCAGTGGCAGTTGTATGTCTGAAAGAGAAATTACTCAAATTTAGGGAGATAAAAATTAAAAAGGGAATACCCTAAAAACGGATAACAGCTTTGAAGAATACCTGAATGATCAGTAAAATCTCGTCTGAAAATGTTGTCCTTAAAATGCATATGCTGGCCTTTCCTCCGTATTATTTCTGGCGAATTTGAGTGTTCTGAGTGACGAACAAGGCGAGAAGTTCTATCAGGACATTTCCTTAATGGAGAAGCATATGATGAATGCTATCACATTATTGTTAGAGATTTAAAAAATTCATACCAGACCGAGATCACGAGTTTCAATTTCAGGCATCAAATAGTCTGTTGTCACCAGCATCGTTTTTGAAGGAATGTGGGGCTACAAAAAACACCAATCCGTTGCTTTTTCTGAAGAGACAACAATTTTGCTTGTTTGCATAAAATTTTGAAATATTTAGAGCGAAGTCACTTATGAAAGTCGAGTGGCTACTGTTCTTGGCCAATCTGTATTTTGTTCGCTTTTAAATTAAGATCTGGCCGTAAAATGCGCCAAGTCGTCCTATACGTCGGTCCGAGTTGCTGCGAACGGCGCCGTGTTTACTCTTAGCTACAACTGCTATATTTTTTTTCATTGCGTGCTGGACGTAGCCTATTCGGTTGAATATTATCTAATCATTAAGTGCTGGGTCTCAAGATGGGTGATGGTGTTGTGTCAGTAGGGCGACTATGTTGACCATAATTTGAGTGAAGCGCTCGCAACACATTCTTTAGAGAACATGAATTTTCGTAATAAAGTTGAACGAGTTGTAAACGATGTTTAGGCTTAAGTTTTTCATGATGAAATGCCAAACAATTCTGAACAAAAATAACATGTCGGTTGACACGACTCACACGAGATCTGCCCGTAAACGGGCTATAAAAAAAGTACCCCTACTTGGTTTACTCGTTATAAGCTTTGTTTATGTTATTAGTTCACCAAATCCACTTCAGGAGTGTCTTACATAAATTTGTAATTTCATGTGTTTCTGCCATGAAAGTGGCTAAATAATAACACTTTAGATGTAATTTTATTAATTTTTTATTTTGTTCAACACTGAAATAAAGGAATTTTTCTTGTATAATGGAATTTAATAAATACATATGTATACGAACAGTTTACCATTAACGCTTAACTTGCTAACTGTTTTGAATCCCCTTATTCGAATTACTGAATAAAGCATTAGTAACTGTTTACAGTTTTTCAGTATTAGTTCTCGAGCAACTTCTAGCTTCCTTTCTGGTTTAAAGGTATATCTTTAATATGCACATATTATATTTTAGAAACACTAATTGAAGCTGACTAAAACTAAAAAAAGTCCTTTACATTTACAGTTACAATATAGCATAGTAGATTTAAGTATCGTAATCAACATTTATTTCTTTGGGTAAATATGGTAAATATTGGGGTATAGACAATAATTGAAATTTAATTCCGGTGCGGCTGCTTCGAAAATTCGTTATTTTTTAAAATTACACATTTTGTTTATTAAAGTATGTCCATATATTCTTGTAAATGTGCTCCTAACGATGCTTAGTCCACTTTAACAGTTTATTATTGTCATTTCAATATCGAAAAAGTCAACATTTACTACATTTTGTATAGTGAATGCAAAGTGCGGCGGTCGTTCTTGCTTTTGCTTTCGTTTTTTTACGGGCTGAAAATAAATATTTACCAAACAGAGTGGCGATTAATAAAACTGAAGCTTGCGGAGCGCATGAACTTTTGGGCATTACAATCACTTGTTTATTATTTATTATAATACTTGAATATAGTCATAAAGCATATATTTAGGCGCCAAACAAAACTAAATAATAAGCTACCATATGATTTTAACAAGAAATTATACTAAATATCTGTATGTATGTGTAGGTGCATTCAATGATCTAAAAGACTCTCTCGAAATAAAATTCAAAATGTTTACATTGAGTTAATTTACATTCGATTCCACTAGATATTGGTAAAAATATATTTTAGGACTGAAACATCTCGAATACATGTGGGGAGAGAGGTGCTTAGATCTATCTCGCTTACATAATTAAAATAATAAAACTAATACGAGCAGCACTTGCAGCGCTAAGAGGTATGTATGTTGCATACATTAGCATAGTTTCTTAAGGATAAAACGCGCCACCACAAAATATGTCTTATAATTAAAACACGAACTAGATCGATCAACTTAAAGTAAAATAGTGACGAGATTTTTGAATTTTCGAGCAGCGTTCGAGGATTATGCCTCCGCAGTTCGTACACACATGCATGCACCCAACTGCGTCTTTTCTTTCCAGTGAGTCCACAATGTTTGCGTGCATAGGACTGTCTCAGACGCAGTTGCACTTTAATTTGACTTCAGCACTTAAATACATATATACACGTATGTCCGAGTAAACATGTGCCAAAACATCGTTAAGCACATGGTAGCAATCCTCAAATGTGATGTTGTTGTTGTTCTCGAAAATTAGATACAGTTTTCAGGTATGTAAGTCGAATGTTTAACATTTTTCATTTTATATCAGTGGCTTCACATTTATTATAGATACAAATATTTCATAATATCAATTTCTTGTGAGTTTCGGTTAAGGATTTATTTGTATAAATAAAATCTTACACATTTTGATTTTTCAGCAATGTTTTATTGCATCTATGATCGGCAATTGGTGATTCCCATTCTGTATGCTCGACGTACTATTTGTATGTGTGTGTATGTAAGTTTGTTTTCGATTTGTGTGATGGACCTTCTAAGTGGGGCAAGTTTATATGGGCACATAGTTGCCCTTAGGCTTGTAGAACATTTTGCCAGTCAAAAACCGACGCCGTATTTCGGAAAGTAGCAAGCGTTTCTCCTTTTGAATTTTCTTCAAGACACCTTTATTCTCCTGTGCTCGCCGAGACAAATATGGCAAAACTTCATTGACTGGTCCATAGGGGATGTACTTGTACGCTGAGTAGCCGGCTTGACCTGAAATACACCGTAGTTACATATCTAGCAAATATTTAAAAATATATTATGACAAAAAAGCACCTGGAAATTGTAATTAAATTCCCCGCCTAATGGTATTTCAAAAAATGTTTTTGCTAAGTTGGTAGAACTGTTTTCAATGGATAAGAATATCGGACAAAGAATTTGTCTCATATTTTGTATTTGTAACCATATTTCGTGTGCGGAATCGTTGCCAATATTGGAAACGACTTATGGTCAAGAGATCGTTGAAGACATGCCTCGTTCTGAACGATCTTCGAACTCTTCAAATGATGAAAATGTTAAACAAGTTAAATATATAGTGCTTGAAAATCTTCAGGCAATTGTTAGAGAGATAGCAAGAGAGCTTGACTCTCACGTGAGTCCGTTCGAATGATTTTCTTGGATATTTTGGGTATGAAACGCGTTCTTGCTCCACCCGTCCTGATATAGCTGAATTTACCGTAATCCGGTCTCTTTGGACATGCTTAATCCTACGAATTCCACAACTGTCGATGAGACATGGATTTATGAGTTTGACATGTAAACAAGTCAACAATCAGTGGAAGGGAACTGGTTTTGCAGTCGATCGAAGAGATAAGACAAAATTAGCTGAAGGAGCATCACAAAAAGTGCTTCAGAAACATGTTTCGAGGACTGGAAAATTCATTGGCAAAAATGTAGTACACCTGGTTGGGACGACAAAATATGGATGAATTATTAAGAAATTGTCTCAGTGGAAAAATTTTTTTTGTTGCATTATCGGATAGCATACACTGTCATTCTCTCAATCGAAATTCAAATTATTACGCTCCCAACAGCGTTTCCTGCGAAAAGGGAACAGAGTTGGGAACGTAGCGACTCCACCTCCTCTGAAAGGAAGAGGTTTGAAGCTATCTAGTTTTAATTTGGAGAGAATATTTTTGACGTCATTCGCCATCGCGCTTTGGAAGCCTTTTTTTAATTTTCCTATTTATTTTTACGAAAACCTGTTTTATCGGGGTCAAGCTAAAATAAAAAAAAGCATTAATTTTGTTTCTTCAAGTCAAAGAGGAAAATAGTAGGCTTCGAAATGCTCTTTCTACTGTTATTCAGTAAAAACGAACACAAAGGCGCTGAATCTATCATTATGTTCTCATTAATATCGAGACAATTTTTTTTTCGATCAAAAGTCTCTGTGGAAGTAGCGGTATACAGATATGTTCCCGCAAGTATACGAAAATAAATATGTGTACCAGTATTTTACATTGTACATGAAAGCTTACTTTATGATCTCTTGCGAAAAATCAGTCGCAGCCTTAATAACTTTAACTTACCAATTATGTAGATCACTGTCTACCAGTGTTTTAATATTGTATAGTATATGTGGTTCTAAGGTGTAAGAGCCCATACATACCTAGTGGGAAGGTGATATAATCGCACATTCCTAATAATTGACCAAAGCAGATGACTTTATCCTCGGGTGAGATACCAATTTCCTTCATTCTTTCGATAGCAAAGCGCACTGTGTCCTCGTTGTGTGATGCCACCATAATTCCAATCTTCTTAGCGTCCTCACCGGAGTCTTTCAATAACTGTAAAATAAATAGAGCAGGTCATATTTTCAGTTTGGTCTTGAAGGCGCAAATACTCGTCGCTTTACTCACTTTTATTCTTCGCAGGCATTCAGTCAATGTTTTGTGGTACATATCAGTGGTGGCCTCATAATTGGCGCAGATAGGATCCGGATAGTCCATGCTAGCCGCGCGCTCTCGCTCCTGTTCCATATAGGCGCCACGCACTAATTTGGCGCCAAAATAGAAGTTCTGACGTTTCGCTTGTTCCAGATCAGTGCACACCTAAAGTAAATGTGGAAATCAATGAGTTCATGGAAATTTACTGACATTTAAGAGACTATTATCTACCTCTCCGAAGGTTTCTCGCAAGTAACACTGATATGTGTTGAATACGATGGCCTTCTCTTTGTTGTATTTTCGCATCATTTCCAGAGTGATGCGCGTAATGGCAGGTTGGAAATATGTCTGTTCAGCGTCGATCATTATGCGCACGTCCAGATCCGCAGCAGCCTACAAAGCAACAAAATTAGTCAAACAAAAAAGTAAAGTTGAAGGAAAATAATTACTTTAACAATAGTATTGACACGGCGAATCATGTTCCTGAACATTTCCTCTTCTTTGGGCGGAATCTGTGAGATCAGTCGACGCATTTGTCCGGTCTGTGGGTCTGGCACACGGAATGTGTCACTCAACTGAGAGTCCTCATCCACAATGCCAGACCAGGGGAATAAGTGGAGAATACTTCAAAGAAAAGATGTACTTGTAGCTCATGTGCGTATGCAATGTCGATGAGAGACTCACCCTTCCTTGTCCGAAGTAACATTCTTCAAGAAATCCTGCACGTTTTTATTGTCACCCAAACTGGAATAGTACTTTTCCAGATCTTTAATCGTTTTGTGATGAGTCAGTACATTACCCTGACCACCGACTAGGTCCTCCATGTATTTGCGAGTACGCATTATCACTTCCGAAACTTGCAGCTGAAAAGAGGGAATTCCAAATGATTTATTATAAAGTTAAGTCTTTTTAACAGCGTTTTCAAACTCACCAAAAGCTGGGGCCGTCCAAGCGCCGTAAGCTTAATTGCCGTAATACCCGTACCAAAGGTGGCGCCTAGGTGGGACAAAATCAATTAAAAGCACGACAGTTAGAGCGATGGATGCTACGACCTTATATAGCTTAATAGTTATATACAATTATATATGTATTTACATGGCGGGAATACTATTCTATTTATTTACCACAGCAGCAGTCTCAGGTGTACATACATACATACAAAGGACGAAACATTTATTCGTATGTACAAAATGATAAATGCTTGGCCAAGCTAGAATACAAACATTGTATATCTATGTAAATCCATGTTTAGCTTACCCTCAGCAACGGGTCGGGGTACAGTTTTGTGATCGTCATCTTTGTTAGTGGGTTAGTGGAAATTATTGGTTTTGATTTCATAAGCAGTAAACCAAATTTGAGTGAATTCATTGGTGAGGGAAAAAATCAGTAATGTGTTAAAAATAAATTTAGTACCAAAGTAAATAAGTAGTGTAACATAACATTAACATAGCAATAAAAACCGAATAGTTTGAATAATAATTATTTTAAAATAACAAATACACTTTTCATAAAGCAATAGATTTTGATGAAATTTTGTTACAAAGATAAGTTAATAAAACAACAAAGTTTGATGGTAAAAGAAAGTTCTGTACCACTTTTTAAATTTGGTGCGAAAAATTTGTATTTTTTTTGGGTGAATTGGGAAGGTTCAGTATCTGAAAAACTAATGAGAAACAAGTAAGGAAAGGCTAAGTTCAGATATAACTGAACATTTGATACTCGTCCAACTTGCAAGGATTAAACCCGGGTCATATCTTCAAGTACAAAGGGTTTATTATATATCCGACTTTATTCATTCTAAGCACGAAGGTGTACCGTTATTATTAGATACGCTCTCTCAATTTTATTCCTCATTGTAACATAAGTATGTTAGAAGAATGTTATATAATAAATTTGGTTGAAATCGGTCGAGCAAGTCTCGAGATATGTGATGTCATCTAAATGTAGGATGTGCCACACCCATTGTCCAATTTTGAACTCGATTGTTCACTTAACGGCTGAATGTATCACATAAAACTAATCGTGATTGATATAGTGTTATATATATATTTAAATGATCAGGATAACGAGACAAGTTGAAATCTGAGAGAGACTGTCTTTCTGTTCTTCCGTGCAAGCTGTAAGTCGAGTAAAAGTTGAGGTATCTTGATGAAACTTGGTATGCGCCTTCCTTCGTAGGAGTTCGTAAATGGGAGTAATCAGACTACTGTAATAGCAGGAATAGCCAAAATGGCCACTCACTTCGTTCCTTTGCCTTCCTTAGCGAGCAAAATGTGTCAAAAGTTGAGCCCCTGGTAAAAACGCAGAAATCAGCCGTCTTTGTTTGTTTTCATTTGAACAATGTTGCCATTGCTCAATACGCATGTATACTTTTACAATTTTTCATAATATAAAATATGAAAACTGAAAACAAAATATTAAAAATAGTTTATATATTTATAAATAATAGCATTCCACTCTGATTTTCAGTTATTTTAAGAAAATTTCAAACATATTGAAGACAAATTTTATAATTACTACAGTATATCGAGATTGGCAACCCTGCGTTGTGAGACAGCAATCAGCTGACACGTTTCTACGGAAAAAATCCAAATGCTGGGGACTCCTACGGCAACCTACGGAAAAGAGAGAAGGGAGTAGCGTTTTTCGCTGTTCACTTACATTGCACGCCCATAAGATAGGTCGTATCAGCTGACACGGGCCACGGGTATACGTTTTTGGCTGTTTATGCTATAACTCCCACAATGGATCACCTATGTGCAAAAATACTATGAAAAAGTGGACATAGACCCTTCCTCTAATAAATGTAACTGCTCCTAGGTATCAATTATTTTTTAACTAAGTATTTAATACCGAATATATCAGCTAATATGTGAGATATCTTAATAAAATTAACAGAGCGTGTTTTTCTTATAACGGTGCGTCTTTGTGGTTGGAAGAAATAAAATCGAGAAATGTTCGGGTATATCCGAACTTATCCCTTCCTTACATGTTTGTTTTTCAAAGAATCCTTATGTCGAGAACGAGACTCTTTTTGCCACCACTTGAAGCGAATTATGAATATGTGTTTATTAGTTTATTTTTTTTTAATCCCAAATCAAATAATTAAAAAAAAATTAAATAGATTGTCTCGAAACTCGGCATAACTTTCTAAGGTTGTAACTGATGTAATGGGCAAGACTATATTTATGGTCACTAAGAAATTCAGTGCCTTTAATTTGTCTCCCACTCTGGTATACTTTTCACCCAACAGTTGTTAAATATTACATTAGGTAACCACTATACTCAATAATTTCAAAATTTTGGTCTTATTTACAAAATTTATTTTAAGTCCCTATTGGGAAAGAAACCAATGTTACGCTACTCTTTGCAAATATTTGCAAACTCATAGAAACTCCTTAAACTAATTAAGCTCATCCTGGTGCTTACTGGGAATAAAAAACGTACTTTGTTTATTACAGTTCAGGGCGCATTTGAATATAATCTCATTTATTTATGTGAGTGAGCGCAATAAGTGCTCTCCTATTTTAATTATAATGAGTTCACCGCTTTGAAACTCTTTTCTATGGTTTTATATTCTGTGTAGAATTGACTGTCGTCGCTTTTCCTTTGGAAATATTATTTTTTATACATAATTACTTATTTGATTGAAATAAATAGAAACGAAAAATTAATTTGGAAAAAATTGGGGTCTGCGCCTTTGATACGTAAATAAAATATCTTTACAGCGTTTTACTCAACCAGTAACGGAAATTTTCATTGCATTAATTAATTGCAACTACAACTACCTTCAAGAGTTGGGCTAACACATTTTTGAGAATATTCATATTATCTTAAATTGTCACAAGGAGGTATAAACAACGGAGAACATTCTTTTAAACGCAATTTTCTTTTGTGCGAAAACAAATTTGGTGTTTCGATAGCAAAAGCTCTTGGTACAAATGTATTTATGACCATCTGTACATAATTTGTTTGCACAAATGATTTATATTTAGAACATTTGGGACTCATAATGAGTATAAGCTTATACATAGAAATTTATGTCATTGAGAACCTTATGCAAGGAAAATATATTCTTCACAATTTAAAAGATTTTATGTGCAAACATACTACAACAACACAAGCAAAATAAAGAAACTGGTTTTAAATTTTAAAACGCAATTGGAATGCAGACAATGTCGAATAAAAAAAAATCGAAAATCAATATTTTAAATCTTCACTAAAGTGGGACATTCGACATTAAGCCTTAACTTGTTGCTAAAGAGAGTATTATAGTTTTGTTCACATAACGGTTGTTTGTAAGTCCTDAAACTAAAAGAGTCAGATATAGGGTTRTATATACCAAAGTGATCAGGGTGACGAGTAGAGTTGAAATCCGGATGTCTGTCTTTCCGTCCGTCCGTCTGTCCGTCTGTCCGTCCGTCCGTGCAAGCTGTAACTTGAGTAAAAATTGAGATATCATGATGAAACTTGGTACACGTATTTCTTTACTCCATAAGAAGGTTAAGTTTGAAGATGGGCGAAATCGGCCCACTGCCACGCCCACAAAATTGCGGAAACCGAAAATCTATAAAGCGTCATAACTAAGCCATAAATAAAAATATTAAAATGAAATTTGGCACAAAGGATCGCATTAGGGAGGGGCATATTTGGATGTAATTTTTTGGAAAAGTGGGTGTGGCCCCGCCCCCTACTAACTTTTTTGCACATATTTCGAAAACTACTATAGCTATATCAACCAAACTGTATAGAGTCGTTTCTTTTAGGATTTTCCATATACAGTTCAAAATTGGAAGAAATCGGATGATAACCACGCCCACCTCCCATACATAACCTTTGTAAAATCACTAAAAGTGCGTTAACCGACTAACAAAAAACGTCACAAACACTAAATTTTACGGAAGAAATTGCAGAAGGAAGCTTCACCCAGGCTTTTTTTAAAAATTGAAAATGGGCGTGGCGTCGCCCACTTATGGACCAAAAACCATATCTCAGGAAGTACTCAACCGATTTCAATGAAGTTCGGTATATAATATTTTCTTAACACCCTGATGACATGTACCAAATATGAGTGAAATCGGTTTACAACCACGCCTGAAATCTCGATTATCACCATCATGCGAGGGTATAAAGTGTTCGGTGACACCCGAACTTAGCCCTTCCTTACTTGTTATATTGTGGTATTATTACTGTATCAGTATTTACTGCGAAGAGTGAGTTGGGGTGGATGCAGGACAATACCATAAGCGTAGTAATTGAGAAGAACGTTTGAGAAAGTTATAAGAGCCGAGAGCCAAATAGGCAACGTACAATCTTCTACAAGAGTGTACAATTGCTGGCGTATGGCGATGATTTTGATATTATAGGTCTGAAAAAAATCACCGTTAGTTCTGCTTTCCCCAGGCTAGACAAAGAAGTTAAGCGAATGGCCCTGCTGATGAACAAGGACAAGACGAAATATTTAACTCCTGTCATCAAACAAACAGTCAGCGCATTCGCGTCCTGGCTTCTACGTCACTGTTGTCCGTCATAACATTGAAGTTGTAGATAATTTCGTTTATCTTGGAATCAACATCAACAACACCAACAATGTCAGCCTTGAAAACCAGCACAGAATCACTCTCCTAACAGGTGCTACGTTGGTCCGAGTGAGCAATTCATAAGTAAAATCCTCTCTCGACGAATCGAAATTGGTCTACACCAATGTAGTGATAGTAGTAGTATTGGGGAAAGTCGATAGGCGATTTTCTTATAACGGCTGAGCGTTTAAATAAGCTTGAAAGTTTATGGAAATAAGATAAGGAAGAAAGGAGTATATTTCAAAAAGTTGCAATAAAATAAAAAATTGTATTAAATGAATTACATAATTCAAGTAAATGAATGCCATACGTTGGCCACTATAAAACTGGGACTTTATGAATATTTGTCCATATTCGTTGATCAAGATATGCGAAGTTTTGGCTAATATTCGGATATTATTTAAAATTGATTTTCAAAGATAAAAAAGATTCGTGGACGTTTCTCAAAACATCTTTAAACAAAGAAGGAACACATTAACAGATAATCATTGTTCAAGCTTCTTTACGTGTTTTTATTTTAACGTATAAATGATCCTATCCCTATGACTCCAAATATTGGAGTTTTCGGATAGATGGTTAAATGATTCGAATGAAACTCCCAGTTGTACTCATACATTTAGAATGTACAAAAATGCCTATAAATATCATTATTGCCATTATTCGTCAAGTTCAAAATAGACTGGGAGTAATATTATATATTTTCACGGTGGAAATAGGTTCGGAGGTTCGACGTTGATTGCCGTGGGTCGATTGCTATGTAAGACAACTTATTTCGTTCCACTCTCTACACTCACAGTGGTAATTACCCTTCAGGGGTTTTCGTATTTTAGGATAACAACCACAAGGAGACAAAACTGATTTACACATTTCATTATTTATGATATAAGGTAAGTTTAGGAAAATCATTTTGATTAGTTTATATGATATTAGCATATTTGAAGCACTAATAATTGCATTGCTTTTAAACGTATGGCAACTCTCTTTTACTCCCTTACCTGAGACGGCTTCCAAGCATTTTATGAAAATCTCCATGTTACGCTCGCAAGTAGCTTCATTCAAGTAGAAGTAAGTTCGCGCACTGCTCACTTTGTAACGACGGTCGGCGAAGGACTTCTCGACATGATATTGCGCTATCGTACCATCATCTTTGACATCGCCAGCGCTAGAAACTGAAGATCTGTAACAGAAAAATTTGTAAGTAATCACCAAGCAAGTAGAAATAGTGGAAACTCACTCAACTTCACGTTTCTCAGCCTCTTCCTGAGAGAGATCCTCCTCCACAGAGTAATCGAGAATCGGTTTCACACCAAACGAGCGCAACCTGGAAAGTTTCCATAACATGTAGTAAAATCCATAAATAGCAGATAATCGCACGTGTGTGTTAACGGTTATTAAGTTGCATGTGCATTTTTCTGGGTTTCGTATTTGTCATGAACGAGAGTTATTACGGCACTTATGGGCACACATTATTACATGCGGAATTTGTATGGAAAGTAATGGATTGTTAGATGCGAGTAGTCAAGTGAACTGTGACATAATTGCTTTACGCCTTCTGGGTTTGTACCTGCATTTACTTGTTTACTTACATACCATAAATGCAGGAAACTGTTTTCAATAGCGCTGCATCATTGAGAGCGAAATAATGGACAAGTAAATGTCACGAGTAACAGTTCGACTATGAAATTTCAATTGCGGTGGTGAGTGCGGGGATTCACAAATACATATGCATGATTATGGATTATTGATGCTGTTCCGTTTAGTAAATTACCCAACCACTATGGGTCAGTATCATGTGACACACCTATATTTAGTTACTCTATGCTTGTGTGTGTGTGTGTCGTAAGTGTACACAGAAATAATTTGATAATTATTTAATGGTTTGAACGTTAAGTTTTAGTGAATTCTATTTTTTTATTATTGTTAGAGTCATGCCACATGCTTTATTACACGAGTACATACGAAGTTATAAGTATGTATGTGCATGAATATATTATAAACTCGCATAGGTGATATTAATAGTAGAAACCTTTCAAGAGTAGGCACGATAGTACGTCTATTTTCGCCCGCAACAAAGTGTCCATAAAAAGATAACTTCATCAGTAACGCAAAGAGCCGGTCACCTATTAAAGCGCGTGTAATTTTCATTATCTAGGAAAAGCGGCAGCATAGCACGAAAGCCGTTAGCAAGAGTCGTAGCCCCAAGCGCAAATTGTGATTGTATTGAAGCGTTTACGGGGGATTTATTGCGTTTGTCGAAAGCGGGCAATTATCGGTGTGGCATGAATATGGGTTGGCACATGTGAAAATATAAAAAAATAGAAAGAAGTGTTAGTTTCGTTTACTTTGGAAATTACCTTTCTAGTGTTGGGATGATTTTGACTTGATCTTCGCCAGCTACAAAATGACCATAGAACGTAGCCTTCATCAGCATTGTAAACAATTTGTCGCCGAGCAATGTATTGGCGATCTTCATTAGCTGTGATATGTGTGGTATATACAAAATGATGAATATCAAATGTGCATTTAAAGGATATGTAAATAATATATATATTTATTAATTATTTATAATAAATACTTGTGACACAACATATTGCCCCAGCTATATTTTCATTAATATAGTCAAATGAACTGTATGTTTCTAGCTTAGGGTTGACCTTAATTTCCTAACCACAACCCTTAATTGATTCCATATAAAGTTTTTGCTCAATTGCAGGCCTTTAGAAAGACTGAAAAATTAAAAGTAAGATACAATATTCCTATGTCCTTGTACTTAAGATCTGGTCACGTACATATGTGTACATTCCCACTCAATTACTTCATCAACGGAAACTTTGCATCTTGAACCCCTCTGAAACTGTCTCCTGGCATTGAAATAAGTCACGCATTTGATGAAATCTTTCAAGAACAACCCTAATGTAAAAATTACATTTTTGAAATATCAGAATTTTCATTTCGCCGCTGTAAGAGGTGGCAAGGTTTAAGATTTCTGTGCTGGATTCTTAATTTAAAATTTCTAAGCATTAATAATGACTTCTACGCAGGGATAAGGTTGTAAACGCCAACTATTAACGTCTCATAAAATAGTAACGAAATATTTTAATTATTGTCTAATGAAATAAGAAAGTGGCAAACGAATGCACAAAAGTGATTTTCTACTTTAAAATATGAATGATTATTCATTGTCATACATACATATATACTTACATAAGTACATTTAATTGTCTAATATGACTGAAATAAAATATAATTTATGATAATTTATCCACTGACTTCGGCAATGTTTATGAATAAAAATGTTTTTTTTTGTGACTGCTACCTTTCTCAATAGAACCAAACGATACATAATACATTATATATATATAAGTATATTATACTTATTTACTATATAATTATATCTTCAACAGCGCGAACTTAGATCGTACATAACGAACGTGCGAGTTTAGAAAACAAAAATTTTGCACTTTTGCTTGTGAATCTATTTCTGTCAAATATTTGTATATTTTTCATGGCCCGCAATTGACGTGTAATGTTCTCTTAGGAACATTTCAGAACGATCATATATGTATATGAGCAGATGTCTCAATATGCATGTAGGAGCGAATATATGTATTTGTGGTCAGTTTGTACTCGAAATACCTACATATAATATGTATCATTATACAGTGGTGGGATGAACACCAACGTGCAATCGTCACAACATCAAGGCCGCAGTAATTCACCCAATTTCAACCCACGATGATTAGCCACAAATTATCTTAAACACTCGGTCGCCAAATTTAAACTGTCGGATTGTCAGCTTTTCAGATGTTTTTGTTATTTGTAGTCGCTAAATAGATAAAATCTGTTGAGTTTACACATGCTGGTGTATACTGGCCCTTAAGTGGAACTTTTTTAGTAGTTAGTTTTAGGTGATGCGTACAACCGTTGCAAGAGTATAAAAATATATATAATATTTTCATACGCTATACCATCAGTGAGGTAATATAATATATTCCGTTAATATAGCTTGAATCATACCATTGAGACATTCGTTCCGATTATAAATAACTCCCTTATACGCATTCCATATTTTTGGAACATATTACTGGGCATTCACTTGATTCTTGTCTTGAGGTCTACAAGGTGCGTTCCAAAGTAAACAGGACTAAAAAAAAAACAGAACAAATGGTGTTTTACGGCAAAATCAATTTATTTTATTCAAAATAGTCTTCTTCTGCTTCAATACAGCTTTTTGTACGGCCCAAAAGCATGTCGAGCAAGTGTTTTAGCTCGTTGGCCGGTATGGCCGCCAGTATGCCGGTGCCAAATTTTTGAATGACCTCGTCTGCATAATGCTTTCCTTTCAAGGGCGAATTAGTTTTTCCGAAAAGGAAAAAGTCGCGCGGTGCCATATCAGGTGAATCCGGGGATTGGTTAATGGTTGAAATTGATATCCTTCGAATGTTGCATTCTGATGAATTTTTGGTCGTCAGTCAATTTGTGCGGAACAAACCATGCACATACCTTTCGTAAGCCCAAATATTCAGTAAAAATGCGATAAATCGATGTTTTGGAGATGTTCAATTCCATTTCCATGAATTTCAATGATGATTTCGGCTGACTTTTTAAAGAATTCACGCATAGTTTGGATGGAATTTCCGGTGATCAAGAATTTTGATTTTCCCACATGTTGATCGTCACTTTGAAAACGTTGAAACCACTCATGCACTCTGCTAGGGGATAGGCAATTATCGCCATAAACTTGTTCAATTCACTCAATTGAAACATTTCGGTAAAAGTTTTACCAATTTAAAAACAAAATTTAATGTTGGCTCATTGTTCGAAGCTTATTTTCGCACCGATAACACAAACATACTGACACTTAAAACGCAATGACTTCACTTCCAATAGACGAAATGTCATGAAATTCTCACCAGACAGTTGATAAAGACAGCAGATTCTAACGCATCAGTCGACATAGATACATATATGTACGTGGCAAAAAGTCCTGTTTACGCACCTTGTATAAACACTTATTTTCATTCGACGATCAATGGATATTATAAACAGATATAAACCTTCAATAGATGATGTTGCCAATTACTTGGAATAAAAAATGACGCAGTCATAAAATAAACCAGAAACAGAGGACCGTAAATAGAAAATTCTTATAACTTCCTGTGCTACGGTTTCTTAACCAAAAAGAATGTGAACTGAATTTTTGTTCAGTTTTTGAATTTCTGCAGGGATGTATAAATCCTTTAATAGTGGAAGAGTTCAATATCTAAGTTAATCAATTAGTTTGCAATGTTGCAACAAGAGACCAATTTATAAAAGCATCAACGGTTTATTTAATTCAAATTAGGCGTTTTTGCGCACCATCTTTCTAAGAACCCCCACTAGACATATGACTTTGAAACAGTGACTATGGAAAATAATACTATTAGCGTAGACAATGTCCATTTCATATAAGGAACTACTTTTTTTTTATAAGTTAAGTGATTAAGTAAGTTTTAATACGTCGGGAAAAGTGTAGTAAAACTTGTTAATTAAAGTTTCGCGCAGAAACTAAATTGGTGAAATATTTTTCTAGGTATGACTGTCAGTGACATCTTGTGCCAAGTGCCATATCAAAATAATCATTAGTGTTTAGTATATACATGTCTTTCTGAAGTACATAAAGGGCATTGGGCGACTTTTACGATGAATGAAATTATTCAACAAAGAAGTTTTAATAAATTTGGTGTGGGCAATAAAATTTTTGGTGCTGAAACATTCAGAATTTTGGAAAAGGCCTTTGGTGATAATTGTTTGTCGCGAGCAAGTGTTTTTGATTGGTAAAAATTATTTAAACAGGGTCGCGAACACGTTGATGGTACCAACTCAGATCAGAACATCAATAAAATAAAGAAATTTATGCTTGAGAATCTCCGATTAACAGTCAGAGATGTAATTGGCATCGTTGTAATATCGGAAGAATCAGCAAAAACCATTTTGAAGGATCAATTGGGCCTAAAAAATGTGAAAGCACGATCTTAAATATGTTTATTGCGTTATTTGTGAATATTCTAACCTCAATTATTAAACAAATATACATACTCATTATGACTTATTTTGCTTTGAATAAAAGTTAGTCGCAATAATTGAAATCTATTTTTCTAATATTAATTAAATATGCACAATCGAGTATATTATGTTTTATATATTGAAGGCAATATCAATATTCTGAATCCTAAAAGGGCTCTAATTGCGATTTGATTATGCCGCTTACGAAAAGGAAGCCCTAGAAAAGGAAGTCCGCACTAGAAGCCATTTGTGCCATTAGTGCCATTAGTTAATTGCTTCACTGATGCTTCTTTGAGGGTTATTAGAATGCATAAAGTTTTTTTTTTTAGCTGCAACGGCGCGCCTCTAAACGCAAATCAATCACTTAGGAATAGATGCGGCACAGTCATGCGTTCATTTGCGTACATCATTACACATGTATGTACTGCTATTTTCATGCTCGCAGCTGTATATTAATTTCCATGAAGTTACTTAACCACAAATATATTTCTCATTCGAATTATGTGCGTTAAAGTTCTCTAAATTTTATACAAAGATTGCACAATAATAACATACATACACATACATACATACATATGTATTAATCGCATGCCTCTAGTTGGAGTAGATAGTATATGGTACATATGTACATGTACTAAATGTAAGTACTTTATTCGTCCGCTGTTTGCTTAAAGATGAAAGTGTTCTTAAACCATAAACCTGCAGCTACGAAAAACAAATTATATAAAAGCGACTGGTTGAAGTTCAGTTAGTGAATCATCTGAAAAGAACACGCCAATGCCAACGTAATCACATTTTGGCAGCAAAAGAATGTGGTATGACGTCGAACGTCCCCTGTTGGCAAAATTCAAAACTTTGTGAAAGAATACCACATGCATTTCTCTTAATAGCATTTGACACAGCAATACTACCGCATTTTGTGTTTCTCATTCAAGAGTTTCCTACTTTTATTTAACTTAAGATAAGGGAAATACTTTAAATCTCGATGGACGTTGTATTCAGTCAGCAGCAAAAATATATTTTCGGTGTCGTGAAATGGTGTATAGAGACGTCACGTGACTTTTGAAAAAGCTGCTTTGAAGAATATATTCAAAAAGTGCTAATCAAATACACATAGGTTCATACCACTACACACTTGGCATGTAAAAATGTAAGTTCATATATTAAGGTGTGTGTGCATTATTTCCGGCGCCATAAAATCTTTTCATATTGAAAATTTATCTGCATTAACCCGCGCAAACTTTTCTACGGCCGTCAGCATGAGCGAATCACGCGACGGCATGACGTTTGCGCTCGTGGGCGTCTATTTGCTGGTACTCTCCATTGTCGGTTACTCGGTGGTACTCTCTGGTTTATCACGTTCGTTCGTCGTCGAATACATACATACTGCAAGTATTCGTGTTCTTTCGTGTATATGTATGCCTTTCTGTTGGCCGGTTTAGGGGGCTTGTCGTTTGATGGCGTCACCACTATCAGACCTGCGATGCCGGTGGCAATAAATTCCACCATCTATTACACACAAACTCTTGTACATATACATATCTACATAAGCATATACTACTTACAATAGCACGAGGAACCCGTTTTATATAATTTAAAACTTTTCATGTAAGTATAATATGTACATTATGTGCAAATGCAGTGTAAAAGAAGAATCCTAAGAAAGTAGGTGTATCACGCGACTAACCGTCATAGCCGGAACAAATCGCCACACCTGATGTAAGTGCAACATTTGCTTAATTTTTTTCAACGAGTGAAAGCCAAAACGTCGGACTCGTGCCTTCGATAACAGTTGGCTTATGCACTTGTCTAGCTATTTATTTTTGAACTCTTATGTACTAGCCACCTTTTGAACCTTTGAAAGAAAATCGGTTGATTTGCCATACATTTGAATCACAAACAGAAACATTGGGAGCGTAATTTATACATTACATACAGACTGAGATTTAATTATTATTTAGTTTAATAAAAATAAAAGAAAATTTAGCCTTCGTTGTAACCTTCTTGATATAATAATTTGATATGCTACTTGGCTAGTTCTGTTAGGAACTTGCGAGTTTATTATTCCTCTATCTGACATACCCGGTTGTCTGATATGATTTATATTATATGTATATACTATATTTAATTCCCTAACTCTTAAAATTTTAATGATTTTTCACAGAAACATAATTGTACTGTACAATTCCCAGACTTGGCCTTGTTTTGCATTGAAATTAACCTGTTCTTCGTATGTACATATGGTATATCATGATAGAATGAAACTTCATAGTAATATTTATCTTCTTTTTCATACAAATTTTGTCGAAAATTTCTCAAATTTGGAAAAAAATTATGTCCATTGGCGAAATTGTATTTAAGCATAAGTAGTTCAATCAATAATCCCCCCTTTCATATCCCGAATATATCCAGTAATTCTGACTTATTCCGAAATTGTTAGCCCAAAATAACGATTCTCTTAATACAAACTTGGAACACAGAATATATAATTAAAACCTGTCTCCAAAAGTATGAAATAAATGAGTATGTTTTAGTTGTAAAAATAACACGATATTATTTAAAAGAAAAAGAACCTTTGGCAACACTTCTGGCGAAATGTCAGAACTCTGACTAGCGACATTTCAGATCTGTTCTATTTATAATTTATAGGTACATCTACATATATATGTATGTGTATAATTGCATGCGTGCTCTTAAAGAATATGTGTACATTTAATTTACCTTGAGATTGTTCTCCACTACAGGTTCAATGGAACAAACGGTGTACACCAAGTAAGCGCGTATCAGCTCCCATGTTGTTTTGCTCTTGAATGCCGCGACTGGATCATTGAAACTGACATCCAGTGGATCACGTTGGGGATTAACAGGAACATTTGGTTGTTGTTGTGGGGGCTTATGAGATCGGGGTCGTTTTACTTCAGGCTCAGCCTCTTGCCGAGCAGCAACTACGGATCGATCAAGCGGACCTCTCGTGAATAGTGTATGCCGTGAGCTGTAGGCAGGTGAGAAGAGAATGCTGCTGAGAAGTTGGCGTTGCTGCTGCTGTCGTCGACTTAACTGACTCTGTGTTACCGCTGAGTATTTGGGATCGTCTGCTTTACGATTGCTTACATGACGTACTTGCTGCTGGTTCGTTGATCCTAACAATGCCGATGTCGATATTGATGGTGTGGCGGTTGCCTCACCACTCGATCTCCACACAGATGTTGCGCTCCTATTACTTTTATTGCGACTATAAACCAAATTTGATGTGGCACGTTGAGCACAAATGGAACGCAAAAACGCCATTACATACACACACACTTGTATTAAGTTTTAAGTTGTACGACGGGAACAGGAATCAAATCAAACTGATTGTTGCACTGATTAAGCACCCACTATTAAGTTGTCGGCTGTACTATTTTTGGGGTGATTGTGTATTTCTTCCGTGATAGTTCCGCACTTGTATGGCTATATTGGATATGAGAACAATGTGTCGGTGCAAATCGCTAACTTTACTTCAGAACCCCGCAACAAACAGTTGCCAATTGACCACTAACAGCAAGCTTTCCACAGAATTTGATTACAATTCACTCTTTTCAACACAGTTATGTACGTACATATGTATGTACATGTATCCAAAGACTAAAATTTGACCTAACTAAATTCGATTGACGCATGCGTTTACACACCCGCTCTTCAGTGTCGACCGTCACTTGGCGCTCCTTAGATTTTGTGACCGTACTCACAACCGCATATATGTACATACATACGTTTGTGTATATGTATTTATATATAGCAAGAATTCTAAAATGAACGGTTAACTATATTTTATTTTTTATTTTCTTTTAATGTGAGATAGATTTTTTTGGTTTAATTTGGACATGTAATACTTCAAAAGGAAAAATAATAAAAAAATTGATTGTTAATAACGAATAACGTCATATTTTTTGACTTGTTCTATTTGCCATTTTCGTCAATCGAACGATGAAATGAATTTACACCTCAAATTAGGAGAGTTTTATTCATGAAAAGATGCTCCAATTTGGTTACGGAAAAGGTGTACATGTGTATTCTATGAGGTAAGCATATAACCCGTAAGCTAAGCTGTGGAAAAAATCCTCGGATGCTCCACACACGTGCGATTTCCATTAAATAAATGCTTCACATTTCATTTGAAATACGAAATCATTCTTAATCATTAGTTTATTAATTTAAGGATATATAATACATATGTCATATAGGTACTATTAATTATATCACAACTTTAAGATATACTTTGCTTATCTGTTGCTTTGGTGTGGCGCATACCATCATATCCAAGTACATAAAAAAATTAGTGTAAATAATCGTTTCTATTACCGTTTGTCCTTGGCTTTGCTACTACTCCGTAGTAAAATCACTTCATCGTTGAATGAAAAGTGTTTACTTTCTGCTTTACTACACACTGCTTTATTGACAATTCACTACACCGTTATTAATGTGGCAACGCGGCATAGAGCCAAGATTGCGGTATGATTATCAAGCTAACGAACTTTTAAACAGAAAAAGCCTTTTCGTCTTTTAAGTCCAGAGTATTCCAAAAGAGTAACCGCACAAAACTTTCGTAATCCCTTTTTCGGCCTGAAGCGGTTTTTTCGCATTATAAAATGTAGGATTTATGTCATTTATCAAGGTTTTTTTTTTTTAATTATAATGAAGACAACTTTATATTTTTGCATCAGATTATCCTTCTACGATATTTGAGTGAGCAATCGACAATCGATATATGACTATGTAAAATGTAAATGAACTGTGCGAATCTTTGGGTACAAGAAATCCGTCTTTCTCATGTACCTTTGTAACTAAAAATTACCGTTTGTGCTTATAAGTAGTCTATATTTGAGAGTATTTGTTACTATATGCACGAAAACGCTATCCTGTAAACTAATAATGAAAATGCGTAGTTAACGATATGGAGTGAAAGCTGATGCTTACAGTAGTTATTTCCATAAAAGTGCATACTGAATATGCAAATGGGAAGATATTCACACAGCGCTAATTGTAATAGACACAAAAAAACGAGTTTAAATCAAATTGACTCATGTGATCTGTCATACTTTTCCCCCTAAACTTAATGTGTATGGTTAGTGGGTTTGCTGATGCGTTTGTAAGTAGGAATATGCAAATCGTTCGTGTTTACACAGTGATTAGTAGTCCGTCTGTCTGTCTAAATTTAACAGCTATTTAAGATGTGAGAAGATAAAAGTGAACGTGAAACACCACTTAATAAATTTTCGATCCAATTTTTGATCTGCTAAATAAAAATCAACGGGAGTAGGGAAATTATATCCCAAATATGGAAAGTTTCGGTTAAAGTTGAAGGATGTTTTTCAACTGAAAGACAATTGTTGAAGATAAACATACAACTATAAGCAGATATAGTTTTTTATACTCTTGTAACAGGTTGTTTGGCTTTGTTTTTGAAAAAAAATAAACACACATTAAAGGTTTGTATGTTGGACTTGACATTATGACAATTATTGAACTTTTTTTAAGTTCTTTGGGTTAACGAACTAGCTTACGCAATAACTAGGACTCGATTATATTTGTACAAGATTGTGTCAAAAGACCAATAAAATAAAAATTTGTCAGAAATGTTTTAATTCCAAATGTCAAAGTCATTAGTTTGGCTTTATTGTTATTATTCACAAATATCTATATCAAACATTCGAGACAAAGAAAAAAATATGTGCTTAGTGATGAACATGATTCAATTATATGTATGTAGATAGTTGTGTCGATATGGTACCTGCTTTCTCTTATGAAAGAAGTGTTTGCATCCAAGTGTCAAAAATTTTTTTGGATTCAAATATCACTTAAAAACGCAATTTCATTGCTTGAAATAATATAAAAATTTATTTCTGAATCACAAAAACAAAACAGTTGCAAACAGGGCTATCGACACAAACTTATTCAATTGAATAATGGAAATAATTGTAGCTTCTCAATATGATATTTTCACGTAACCGAATTTCGTCTAGACTTCTAAAACACTTGTTCGCATTTACATACATATCGTCGTATGTACACAGGTGATAAATCTTGCCCCATACCAAACCGGCGAAATTGTCGTGGCTTTCGGTTAAAACACGCTTTAACTGCGTTAATTCTGAAAAAGCTCACTTTGTGGTTTTAACTACGTACATATGTATGTTCATATTAAGAAACAAATATATGTACATATGTACATATGTAGGAAAGACAGTAATGAATGTTTAACTTAGACTTAGACTCTTAAAAAATTCAATTGAACTTTGACGCTCTTTGCACATACATATGTATGTATGTACTATATAAATACGATCCGATTCAATCGGTGCATACATATATATATGTATGTATATGTAACGTATATTTCCAATATCAGTAATCATTGAAATTTGGTGATTTCAAATGTAGTATCTATTTGAAATAAACGCACGTATCGCGTATTTATTTCAGCAGAGCCCTTTCTAAAATGCGTCGTTATTAACAAGTTAGAGCTAATAAAGTTTACGTTCAATGCAACGATGCGCATTAAATTAATTAGATCTCTATTTGCTAATTTCACTTTGTTTATCACCTTTTAGTTCGATCTGGTTACGAAGCTATCTGGCTTCGCGCGTTGCTGTCAATTATAATATATGCGAATTTGACAGCTAAGTGTTTCTCTAATTTTCTTATTGGCGATCATTTGCACTGTCAGTTGTCACATGTATCTTTTGTCCTTTCCTAATCAAACTAATGGAATGCTAAAATCAAGTCAAGTATCTAAATATATCTATCTAAACATACATACATATATTAACCAGTGAGAGTGGCTTCTCTATGAATGAATTCTGCTGCAAATGCAATGTACCGTTATTGCAGTTTTTTTTAGTTAATGTGCAACTGCAGCATAGTTTCTTGGTGAGAATGTGACTATGTATTACTAGAAATTGTTTAGTTCTAAAGTTATGGCCGAATTTAAGATACTTGTAATGTGAAAAAGATTCACAAGCTTTTGCTGAAGCAACTGTTCTATCCTGTTCATTATGCTATAAGGAATTATTTTCACTTGTTAGATTTCTCTGCCGGGCATTTATGGTATGTATGTATGCAGTGGTATATATACTCTAGTTGATAAATGAGAACAGGTACATTGAATGCAAGCTTATAGTGCTGCAACAAATTATTTACTCAACTCTGTACTCGTATGCCACTAATGTTGGCATCGAGCAGAAAATTAATGTATACAAAAGCAGTCAATGGATAATTTCAGTATATCTCCGACTCGATTCGGCTCAGCGAGCCAGCGCGAAACACAAGCGATGTGTTGTCTAATGTCAAGCTACACATGTGCATATTTATCTCTGTTGCCTGTGCTTCTCAAAGTACTTGCTCTGAGTTATATAACTTTTTGCATATCCTTTCAGTGTCGCTCTCCCACATCATTATTTCATGTAGATTTCGCCAAAAAAAACTTTTTTCGGAGTTGCTAAATTTAAAATTTTTTTTTATTCGATGAATCATTAAATAAATAATGGCTATTTTAGAAGCCAAAATGTGGTAAACGCATAAAACATGCAAATTCTTGATTTCATTAACACAATCGCTATTTGAGCACATTTTTGCCGTTTCGTTGTGTTGAGATTTTCGCTTATTCGCAAAGAAATCAATACGATTTCCACTTTTCACTAATTAAACACTGTGTTGTTGCGGGGTTGCATATTCTGAATGAAATTCGTGCTAGTTAATTTGATTGTTGAACTTTTTCACAAAAATTACTTGAAATATGTGTTTGCTTAGCAAATTTGCAGTGGAAAAAAATCTGTATATGCAGAGTTCTCAGCGAATCGACTACCTTTTCTTAGATTTTGGTCAACCGACCAGCGAATCACAAGTCCCGAGCTGAACGGTGCACGACTGACTGATTGAGACCAAATTCTGACGAGGTGAATCGAGCCAAATTGGCAAACGGTGGTGGCTATAATGACGACGACAGCAACGACGAAAATGTTGATCTGACCGCGAATTACACTCAGTGAGCGCACGAATAAAGCATACTACAATTTAGCTTAATACCGGTTCTTGTTTTCGCGCTATAAGCTGTTCACACGCGATGCTCGGCAGGAGGCGGTGGCCCAGTCGTGTGTGAGAGATGAGACGCGGCAGCGAGGTACTGGTGGCAAAGAGCATACACACTGTGCACATTTGCAGTCATTTAAGGTACACGAGTGTATCTACAGAGCAATTTTCGTTTTGTAATTATGTACTATAACCACATGTACTTGGTAAAAAAATAGTACTTTCGTTTGAGGGGCTGGGTTAAGAAAAAAAAAACGACAGTAGCGAAATGAGCAACGCGCATGCCATCGATGTCATCTCCCATGGCAACAACAACAAAGGTCAAAAATTTGTGAGAGACGGAAAATGAAAGTGAAAGAGTGAGGAAAAATTTCACCTCTTCAATTATTTTAGCCTTGCTAGTTTTGTAAAAATTCTAAACCGACTGACTTTGTTGGAAACAATAGTAATGTCCCCTTTGGAATTTAAGTTGAAATTAATTCACCACACTTCGCAATTAAATTTTGGGAAAAAAAAATTATGACACAAAATATAATCGTCTGTCGAATGATGAGCTCTGTTGAAATTTCTTAAATTTTTATGACATCAATGCCACTCTTCCATGATTTTTTAGTAATAATAATATTTTATATATTTGTGTATATATAATTTTAATTTAGTAAAGACTGTAATATGTGTAAGTTGATATAGAAACATCCATGAAGTATATGGGCTGCTATACTTCAAGTATGTTCCCCTATTCCAAATGTGTTCATTTTAAATATTTGTAGAGTACTTTCTCTGCGACGGTTTAGTCCTTTCATTATTCGTAAGTGGTCATTTCAATTTCTCATGAAGTTCTTAACACCTACATATATACATATGTATATCTTGCTAACCGATTGGATTATGATCCAATATACATTTATAGATATCTATTATATAATAAAACATTTAAAAATTGTAAGTGTATTGGTTTGAAGTAGTTCTCGCTGTGCTGCCTGCGCAAGCTTAGATTAGTTTAGGTTAGGTTAATATGTCGATCTTAACAGAGATCTCCTTGAACAGTTGTGGTACCTACGACTTCTATAACTGATAAAAAGGTCCTCATAAGTCGGCGAATCGATTTGAGCATGTCACGTTTGTTAAGGCGGTTAATGTCAGTTCCGGCTGTGTCTCCTGGAAAAGTTTAAAGTTGATTGAATAGATACTAAACTCTGGTATGGATGCATTATTTCTTAATAAACACGACATAAATGTTTATACTTCAGAATCTCGAATAATGTAATAAAAAGGAAACCGCCGTAGTAGTAGAAAAATCGCCTATATTCAAGACGATAATAAATGCTGACATCAAAATGGCAAAACATCGACATTGATTGATTATTAAATTAACAAGTAGCGTCTCCTAAGAAACCCAAAAAAAGAAATTTTAGCCCGAAATTGAGCTGAAAATAATAAGAGAACTTATTGCAGTTTCTAAGGAAATTAGGTTAATAACAAACTCTTTAACTACAATAGTAAGGCGTTAAATAATAACTTAACAATTAAAATAATTTAAAAATTATTTTCTGTTGTATTCCAGATCATTATTCAGTTAGTAAGTGTGGCGAGTTACTGTCTGAACACTGTTTCGTATTTACTATACATATGTATATGAGTGTATGTGTAGCTACTGAGAGTCAAACATAATACAATTCTTTCCTGAAGTTTACTTTTATGCAAACTTGTACGAATTCGTTTATGACTGAACAAACTTGTTAATTAATCGTTAGACTTTTAAGGTAACTGACAAATGGGTGATTTCATAAGTTTTTGGTTGGGCTTTGAACTAATTTTACAGTTACAGATTTTGTGTCTTATTAATTTCTTCAGACATATTCTTTTATAGATTAAGTAAACCCGTATCGGTTTAGTAAAATTATTCACTCATAAACGACTTGGGTATTTCATTTGTTCGCTGACATCAATTAATACTGCAAAATCAAAAATCAACAATAACAACAATAAGAAGCTAGCGTAAAATGGATTCACTCTCTTGACTAACTGTATCCAATTCTCTCGATGTTTGCACGATAGTGGAGTCTCCTTTAACTTTCGGATTTCTATCAGTCTAAGGACTGTCAACTCGGCAGCGTTACTCAAAATTACTTGGGGATATTTTGTGCAGCCACAAGGACAACATATTACGAAGAAAACCTTCTGGCACAACATTTTGTGAAAATACAATATAATTAAGATTTTATTTCCGACTTTATGCTACAAATATTAAATATAACTTTTGAAAACAATAACAATTTTTATTACTTCTACAAACTAAGCATATGTGAATAAATGCAACAAGTTGCATTTTTAAGATACAATTTCTTTTTGGTGCTTATATGTTTGGGTTAGTGAATAGTACGGTGATAACCGATTACTGTTTAATTTGTTAGTTCGGTGCGATTGGCAGCCACCTCGGCCAGAATGAGTAAGTCTGAGGTAGACGAATTATCATTGCATAAGTTGCCAAAAACGTTGACGTCGGTGCGCTGATTGTCTGCTCCCGTGGCAGCCGTGGAGTTTTCGATTTCGCCGAATGGTAGACATTTTGATATTGCGCCATCTGGCGATGCGTTGAAGTAATAACAGCCGTTTATGGTACTGAAATTTTTAGGCAATGGAATAACAGACGCGATTTCATTCTCAATCACAGTAACGTCGCGTCTGGTGATGCTCTCCTTACGCGCTTTACGTTTTTGACTGCCAACAGCCTGCTGCGGCGGTGCTTCCCGACTTCTGTTCGGGCACGATATGGTTGGCGCGTGCTTTACATTTATTGCCTCTGAATTTTTGTTGTTTACTGCATTGTTTGAATGGCGTTTCTTCGATGTAAATTTCTTTTTCTTCTTCGTATTGCGCTTGCGCTGTAAGTAAAGATCTAAACTGAGTGCTGGCAATTCCTTAATTTTGTCTTCCAAATCGAAACTTGACAGATCGTTATTTGATTGTAAACCCTCACCCGGGTTTTCACTTATTTTAATATTATTTCTAGATGTCGCTAAGATCGCGCACGTGGATGAGAAATGATTTGTGCTATCCAGCGAAGTTAGATTAGAACTGCCGGATGGAGCAACAATGTGATGAGCGTAACCGTTGGGATGGCTTTGTGATTTGGGTGTTTTTATTTTCTTTGAAACCGCTGAAATTTGCCCTGAATTAATAAGTTCTTGATAGATTTTCCCTTTGCATGCCCTTGATGTTTTCTTCGGCAAAATATCATCTTCACTCCCATTACTGGAGAAGCTATTCTCACTTAACAGGCGATTTTTGTTCGATTGCACACTCTCTGCGCCGCTGGTGGGTGACATGTAAGCGTTCAAAAATTGTGACGTCTCGCCCAAGGCCTTCTGCAATGCATTCTGGTTCGAATTGCAGCTGTTGTGGTCGCTTTCGCCTATGAACAGATGACTGAGTTCGCCCATTTGTGCTTCATCAGCTAGTTTAAAAAGGTGATTGTTGCCACGTGTACTGTTGTTCGTGTACCTTGCTAGCACAGCACTCCCGCTTTGCGCACTCATAAAAGATTTCATGTCGTCTTCCGGTTCCGTGCTTGTATTGCCTGGGCGAGTGTTCAAGGTGCGTAGTGGAGGAGCGGGCAACTTGTACCATTTAAAATTTGGATTTGCGTTGAAAAATGCGTCTTTATTCTAAACAAGATTTTATATTATAACTTATTACAGATGGAAGTGAGTAAAGTAAGCGTACCTGTTGCGCCAAATTGGTAAAGCATTTCTTATCAGTGGCGTCTAAGGAAGCCCACCAGTCTCCAAGTATCTTTGTGATAGCTCTAAAAGATAGGTTTACTAATTAGTTAGTTTAGGGGAAGACAACCCGCTCACATGCTTACCTATTTTCCAACGATTTGTACCGTTCCTTGACTATGGCTCTGTGGCGTTTGCAAAATATCAAGAAAGCATTCATCGGTCTGCGCGCATGATGATCTGGTGTGCTAGGCATTGCCCCTTCAGTTATTTCATTCTGCACTTTGTGCACAGTCTCTACATCAACATTCAGTTCAGTCTCCTCCGTTTCCAATCTGGTGATTTGCATATTAAAATTTTCATGGCATTTCACTCGCTTTCGCTTAGCCGCTAAGTGCTTGCTTTTCAGATAACGTTCGTAGTTGGTCGCGGCATCATCATTGTTATCATCCTCATCTAAATCCTCATCTTCGTCTTCATTGTCTTCCTCATGCATACTGCTATTGCTACTTTCATTCGAATAGCTATAATGGTCCATCTTGGCATAATTGTGCACATCCTCGATGCGGAGAAAGGCATTTTCTTGGTAATCAGTATTATAAATGGACGTCGTGCCCCTATCGGTTGAACCCATAAGAGCAGTAACACCGCGAGCTGTCTTTTTTATGCCATCATTGACTAAGTCCTTATCACATTCTCCATTTTTGAAAGTATTTGGGAAGCTACTACTAATGTTAATATTGCTGGCGCTGCACTTGCTGCTGCTACTTAAACTAAAGGCACTTTCTTTTCTAATTACGTTATTGTTGTGATTTATTTTAGTTATGCACCCATTTGGCGCAGTGTGCTCTCTTTCAGCGTTCAAGTTCTGAAACTTATCATAAATCCATTGATTATTCTGCAAATTGGAATGTATTTGCAGATGCTGGACATGTACACGTTGCGGCTGCATGTTAATCTCTTTGGTCTCGGCACTTTGAATATCGGCTCTGGGCTTAGTATCGACGGTGTAAGTGTAGGGATTAATAGAGGCTTGTATTGCATATGACGAAGTGAATCTTTCGCCGCCACTTTGAGGTATCTTCGACGTATGTACTAGTTTGCATTTGTCCAATGGCACTAATCCGTGTGGAAGTATGACTTTACCATGCTTTATTACATTAAAGTCAACTGTGTTTGCGCTGTTGATCATGTTGTTTTTGTAGTATTGTTATTATTT